TAAAAATTAATTCAAAAATATTCTAACTATAAATATTAAAAATATAAAAATTATATATAAAAATTATACAAATAAATTGTGGACTTATCAATTATCATTACCATTGTGCCATCAAAGTGGACATCACAACGTTAATTATGTGGCATCGTTTTCCATTTCCAAAAATCACTCACTCCTCATTCGTCCAAGTGGATCACTCTCGCAGGTCAGCTTCTATCTCTACCTTTACCTAAAAATTAATAAAACAATAATCCCACCACTTATCCACAAAGTTAAACAAATTAACCTACTTTGCTGAACCAAGGAAAAACGAATCATGCCCTTTCCCATCCCTTAATATTAATTCTTTATTGCCACAAACTAAGAAAAAAAAAATTATAGATCATCAAATGAAAAAAATGAAAAATTATACAAATTATACTCTATCCTTAATTTAGTGGTAAAGATAAAATTCGAACACCATATAATGTCATAGTTGGTCCCATAACTAGGGGTTGGCTTGGTTTGAAAGAAATGAATCTTATATTTTTTTTATTTTTTTATTTTTCTCTCTTTCCTCTTTGTTTAGATATAAGTAAGAGGATAAATAAAGGATTTTCTACACTCTTCCTTCTATTTTTTTTATAACTAAATAAATAAATTTTCTCTTATTCTTCTTCTCTCAATCCACACATACTCTTAATTTGATGCCTTTCTTATCTTTAAAAAATTAATTAATTAATTAATGCATTAAACGTTCCTTTTTGTATTTTTTAAATTGTTCGGTATCTTACAATTTAAATTAGATCGAATTACAAACATTAACCATTAGGTTGAATGATTCACCTTCAGTATGAAGGACTTTTAATCATTTAATTATTAATAACTTACAGTTTGATATATTCAAAGTTGTAGAATACTTTTTTCTTTTAAAATAAATTAATTTGAAAATAGTGGATATCTATTTGATTATTATATTCCAAATAAAAATGTTAAAAACACTCCCTTTAACACTTTTTAACACTCTTCTTTAGACATTTTTCATATGATTGAGCTATATGTGATATAAATTTAATATGATTAGTTATAATTTTAAAATTTAAAAACATTAATTTTAATATCAATTACCAATCACTAATCACACTAAATTTATATTTTATATGGTCCAATTACATGAAAAATGTTTGAAAGAAATAGCTAAAGGGACTATCCCA